TGTCTGGTGTCCCTCGCTACCTGCACAGGGACTGAAGCTCCACCCCACTCCCATGGCAAATTGAGTCCTTTCAGGCCTGGGCACAGACTAGTGGGCGCGCACATAAACTTGTACTCTGTCCCTTCCACCTCCACCCCCACAGCGTCTCACAGGACAGCCTTTACCATTTTGGTTTCCAGATGTGGAGACTGAGGCTGGGTGACCACTTGTCTCCTGTTAATTTTTTTGTCTTTTTGAGACAGGGTCTTGCTATGCAGTTCAGGCTGGCCTTGAACTCACTTTGCAGCTCAGGCTGGTCTTGAATTCACAGCAATCCTCCTGCCTCAGCCTCCCAAGTGCTGGGATTACAGGCATGTGAAACATACCCGGTGATCACCCGTCTTGTTGCTTGACAGCATCCCATGTCTTGGGGGCAAATTGTCCTTGTTCACCCTGCTCCAGCTGTGCCTAGGACCTCTGTAAGATTTGTTTTTGTTTTTTTGAGACAGGCTCTCACTTTGTAGCCCAGGCTGGCCTTGAATGTATAGCCATCTACTGCCTCAGCCTCCCCAGTACTGGGGTTACAAGCATGGTCTACCATGCCAGGCTATGCTTTGCTTAAAAGAAATTTACTAGGGCAATGCCTGGGCATTTGTTTGGGAAAGGGCTCACCCCTTCTGAGGCCCAGGCCAGTGGGGTGCGTTCCCCAGATGAGATGGGCTCAAACCAGGGCTCAGGTTGGCAACATCCCCTCACTATGCCAGCTACACAGGGGGCACAGTGATGCCTACCTCAGAGCCCCCTCAAAGATTCTGTGAAATAAGCCAGATGTAGTGGCACAGGCCCATAATCTTCACATTCTAAAGGCTGAAGCAGGAGGATTGCTGGAAGATTGAGGGTAGCCATAAGGAGACACTGTCTCAAAAACAAATCAAAACAAAACAAAATATCCCGTGAAAGTGTACTCAGTAGTGGTAAATTATTACAGGGCTAGAAATCTCTGGTCTCCCCTGCCTTTTCTCCTTCCCTCAGGCTTTGATTGGAGACAGAAACTTGTTATTCATTGCTAAACTGTCACAGCTTGGCTTACAGTGCTGCCCCCTGGATGCCAGGCCTCCCGCCTGCCCTGCAAGCCCCTTCCCACTAAACTGTACCCTCACCCCGAAAGGATTATTTTTTAGAAAGTAGTGCTGTGAGTGTATCAGGTTCCTGGGGAAGACTCTTGCTAACCGAATTTTCAGAGAACTGATGTCTAATCAAAGTGGCGCACTGCAACTGCTGCTCAGGGCTCTGCCCTTACCTTTTGCTGCCCCCCGCCCCCCGCCCCCCGCAGGCCTTGGGCCAGCTGCTGGCTGGAGTGTGGCTGCTAGGGTCTCCCGGGGTGAGCAGGAGACAGGCTGGCTACTGTGAGCCCCGGAGGTAGATCAGGGAGGGAGGTCAGGGTAGAATGGAGATTCATCTTTTTTCCAGCTCTTTCTTGTGTTTTGAGATCTCAGTATGTCACCCCAAGGTGGTCTTGTACTCACTATATGGTCCAGGGTGGTCCTGAACTCATGTTGATCCTCCTGCTGTGGTCTCCTGAGTGCTGGGATCACAGGGCTCACTACCATGCCTGATTTTTCAGCTCTTGAGCCCTAGTTTGAGAGCCTGTTGTTGGGGCTCTGTCCCATTGGAAGCAGACAGCCAGGATTTAGGCCGGGCGAGATTGCCTCCTGCCATGGTCACAGCTGGAGAACCAGGGCCTGGGTTTCACCTTTGATCGTGGAGGAAGCACATGGCTTCCCGTGCTTAGCAGCTCTCAGGGCCTCAACTTCAACAGGGAAGGAACTCTGAGACCCAGAGCCAGGTGGTGGGAGAGGCTGATGGACATGGAGGGGGAGTCAGGGCCACCCCAGTCCCTCCCAGCTCCAGAGGGCTGGCCACACTGGCCCATGGGGTGGTCAGCACTCTCCCCTTGATGTGCCTCCCAGGGGCTCCACTGACCATGGGAAGTACTGAGCCGTCTGACCAGGCCTAAGTGGTGGGAAGGTGAGGGAAGGCACAGTGGGTCCCAGGGAACCCTGGATTCTGGTCCTCTTTCTGGGGATCACTGTGGGTCAGTGGCTGACCCATCGGTGGGAGCAGGGCACTGTGGCTGGTTGTGGTCAGGGTGGCTGGCCACGCACTCCTGCGTCCAGGTTGGGTGCAGAAGCAAGTTGTTTTGGCCTTGCCAGAAGCGTGGAGAAGTGGCCTATCTTGGTGGCCAGGGTCCAGGAGGCTGCAACCAGTGGGAAGTTGCACCCAAGTTGTTAGGAATGGTGACCTGTCCTTCCTCAGGGAGTGGCATCAGGGACCCTGGTCCCCTAACCCTCCCAGCCCCAGCCTGGCAGAGAGAGGGAGGAGTGCCGCGGGAGGTTCTAACCTTCTGGGAAACTTCCATGAGGGCGGGATCTCAGGGTCTCAACTCCCTTGCAGGTTGGCTCTGGGGCCTGGCTGAGTCCAGGGGCCTCTGTTTCCTCCCCTGGAAATCTGGCACAGAATACTTTGTACTGGCAGTGAAGGACGAAGCTGCTCATGGCACTGGTGGTCAATGAAATGAACCCAGGCACTGGGAGTTTGTAGGTTCCCCCTGGCACAGAAAAGAAAAGGGCAGCTTCAGGGGCAGGGAGGAAAAACTCACGTACATGTGTTTGTGTGTCTGGTGCTGGGGTTGGAAACCAGCATGGGCTGAACTGTATTCCCAGCCTGACTGTTCTGAGATAGGGTCGCACTAGGTTACTAACTTGCTTTCATTTTTGGCATGTCTGCAACATCTGTCCACCTGGAGTCACAGCTGGATAAAAAGTGACTTACGGGGTCCGTTCAGACCCCTTCTTCCCCCTTCCAGCCCCTCTGGCTGCCCCAGCTGGATCCTCTCCTGTTTCTCTCCTTTGTTGAGGGCCTCAGGCTGAAGTCCCTCACTCCCAATGAAAGCTTTCTCCTGCAAACATGCACTTTGGTTGTTTCCTTTCCTCTTATCACCAAAAACAAGGACCCATACCAGCTGGAGACCATTCTGAGCCCCAGGTCTGCTACACCCCTGCTACAAGACTCTCCAAACCTCCAAAATGACGGAGTGCTCACAAGGCACTCCTCACTTCCCCAATCCGGCTCTGAGATGGAGAACCCAGGTGTGATTTGGAGTCTGGGTGTCCCAGTGGGCCCGCAGCAGGGCAGCTTTTCCCACTGTGTAGGAGGGAGGTCCAGTGCTCCCTGGAGAGGATGTCTTCCGGTGGCCGCCCACTCTTGGGCTGGAGGCCTCGGTGATGACAACTTGATCCAGATGAAAAGGCAGAAATTGGAAGGGAAAGCTACACAGTGCATTTCCAAGGGGAAGTTCCTTATGGCTATTCGAACTACACTGACAATCTGCTGTATGATGTGCTAAAAACAGGACCTTCCTGATGTCTGCAGGGGAAAAAAAAGAAAAACAATTCTAAAGAAGAGACTGGCGATCGATAAAATTTTACCGCTTCTTTGGGGCTCGACATTTTTTTTTTTTTTTTTTCTTTTTTGAGACTGGGTCTCTCTATGCAGTTCAGGTTGGCCTTGAGCTCACTTTGTAGCCCAGGCTGGTCTCGAACTCATAAACATCCTCCCACCTCAGCCTCCTGAGTACTGGGATTACAGGTGTGAGCCACCATGCTCGGCAAGGGGCTCGACATTTCTGACACTTTATGTGTAATGTTACATGGTAGGCTTTTCCTAAATTGTATTTTAAGTGTCTATGTGCACACTCCAATAATCAGAACAAGATCCGAACCTTGTCCACTTACAGGGCATTCCAGAGCCACAACACAGGAAAGGGGGGACAGGGCTCCTCTTTTCCTCTTTTCACCACGGTAGCCCAGTCCTGGAACGTTGGGCTAGGGACTTATTTCCATCCTCTCATCGGCAGATGGGGAAACCGAGGCTCGAGGACGTGAAAACCACTGGCAGCCCGCGGATGAACGTGTTCCCCAGCGCCCGCGCCAAGGCTGGGGCGGGGGCGGGACCGAGTGCGGCCCCTCCCCGAGGCCCCGCCCCCGCCGCGCGTCCCCGCAAGCCTCATCAGGCGCGCGGTTTGTTTACAAACACGGGGTCCCGGAGGTGCGCGCGCGGCCCGGGTTTGAGGGCGGCTTCCGAGGGCTCGGCGATCCGCGCCCTTTCCCCGCCTCCGGGGACCGCCCGGAAACTGGCCCGGGGCGCACGTCCCCGCTGTGCGGCAAGGGTGGCCGCCGGGTCTCCGAGTCGCCATCGGGCCCCTTGAGCTGGCGCCGAGCTCCGCCCCCGCGCGCCCCCCGGGCCAGGCCCGCTCGCGGCCAGGTCGGGCGGGGGCGCGCGGGGCAGGGCGGGGCGGGCGCGCGCGGGGCCGGGACGTGTAGTCCGCGCGCCTAGGCGTCCCCTGGGCGGCCCTGGCGCGGCCCCGGGCGCGGACTACGACTCCCGCCAGGCACTGCGCGGCGCATGAGCCCTGCTCGCTCGCGCGTCTATTATGCTGCCGGGGCCGGCGGGCCAGAGAGGAGCCGGCCGCGCGGGCCGGGAGGGGACGGCGCCGCAGCCGCCGAGGCCAAGTACGCCTTTCTCTCGCTTCCTTGTGCGCCAGGCGGGGGCGGGCATCGGCGGCGGGCCCGGTCTGGAGCGCGGCCACAGCACCCCGCGCGGGCTGCCGGGGGGACCGGGGAGCGGGGCGCCCGTTCCACCGCTGCCGCCGCCGCCTTTGTGCGCGGCCACGATGCAACAAAGCGCGGCGGCCCCGGGCTCCGCGCCCCGCGCCCGCGCCGCCTGGGTCTCGGGCTCGGGGGCGTCGCCGCGGCCGAGGCGCGCAGCCCGGACTTGGCACGGCCCGCGCGCCCTCCCTCGCGGAAGGGCTTTTTTCCCCTTTCCTCTGCCCGCCATCTTCCGAGGGGACCCGGAGGACGCGGCTGGCGGAGGCGCTGGGAGTCCGGGTCGTGCGATCCCGCGCCGCTGTGCCCACGCTGCCCAGGCTGGGGCGGGGATCGAAGACGGCTGCGTAGTCCGGGGCGGCGGCTCCCGGAGTTTTGGGCCCTTGAAAACGACTTGGCGCCCCTGCGAGTTACTGGATCCCGGTGGCCGGGCCGGGCCGGGCCAGGCTGGGCCGGTTCGGGTCGGAGGAGCAGCCCTGTTCCCGATCGAAGTCAGCCCGAAGAGCGCCTGATCCCGCGAGGTCGAGTGAGGCGGGTGGGGCAGGGGCGCTGCCCTCCTTACCCTCGGGGTGGGCACCTTCGTGACGACGTGGTGCATCCCGTCGGGGCAGAGACGCGCGCCCCAAACCTCGTTCGTGGCCCGGGGATGAGATAAGTCCCAGTGAATAAAGCTGGAGACTTCGGGACGTCTCCACTCACCGTGTTCACACCGTAGGCCCGCGGTGGAGGCCTTGGGCAACCTGGGCTCTGGAGGAGTGGGGTGCCCCGAGCGCCCCATGGGGGCGGGTCCCGTGGTCTGCCGGGAGTTCCCGCGATTGGGCCAGGTCCCTATCGCGGGTAAGTGCGGTCCTGAATTTTGGCAGAGCGCTTGCTGCGGAGAGCGCAGTTGGTGCTCTCCAACATTAAATAAACTTGGGTTATTGTCTGCAGAAGTTATGGGGTGGGGGTGCACCCGGCTGGGACAAGTGAGTGAATCACAGACTCTTTTGGTGAAGACGAGAACGATGTAGTTTTCTTTTTCTCCTGCTGTTTCGAAGCCTCCCTCCCTACTTTTTCTTTCAAGGTGAAGATTTTTCCAGGGGTGCCCCTGAGGAGGTCCTGGAGTGCGCATTGTTGCTTGGCGGTGTTTTGGGGGTCTCGTTTCTTTGGGCCTGTCTGCAGGGTTTAGGAAGAGGCCTGCAGCCCCTGCCGGGACCGATTTCTGGGATTAGGAACCTTTCCTGGTAGGGGGTGGTGGTGGTGGTGTCCTTTTTGCCCTGCGGCAGCCTCTCATTTGCAAATAAAGGTTTGAGTTTGCTCTCCGGTGTCAGGCCTGGATGTGTGCTGGTGGCCACAGATCAAGGGAGATAAGGCTCAGGGCTCTGGGGAGGGGGAGCGTTTCTTTCTGACCTTTCTGGTAACCTCAGGCTTTTCCCAGACCATTCTAGTGGTGTTTGAGATGGGGCCCAGGGAGGAGGAGGGAAGGGAAAAGCTTCCTGGGGTGGACAGTACACACTACTCTGGTTTTTGTTGTGTTTTTAGAAAGTAGAGTGATTGCCTTCCTTCCACAGCAACAGCACCGGCCTGGGAAGTGAGGTTGGAGTAGAGAACGGGATTTGTAAATCCTCCTTTCTCCTGGAGACTTAAGCTGAGGCCAGTGGGCAGGCCGCAGAAAGTGAAAGTGGGAGAGTGTGGGAAGGGAAAGCTTGGCCTGCTGCTGCTGCTGCAGGCAGCTGGAGGGAGCGCCTGGCTGGCCGTGAGCCTCACTGGGCCCCTGGCCTCCTGGTTGCCTCAGCCACTTCCTGGTTTACCGTGGCACAGCCTTCCCTGGGGGGTAGCAAGCCACAGTGTGCCCCAAGGGGCTGCTGAAGCCTGGCCACATCCACCTGCCCGATGCCCTTGTGGTGGGTCTGGCTCTTGGTGGGCAAGGGCCATGTTCCTCCAACTCCTCCAGACCCAAGGGCGTGTCCAGAGTTGCTTCCATCCTTACCCAGGGGACCTGCCCGAAGGTGCTCTTCAGGCCTCTGGATTTGAAAGCAGTTGCCTTTGTAGTGAGGTCATTGTGTGTGTCCCTACTCTGGGCTGGTCATTGAGGCCCTTGGAGATCCATTGTGCTTGCACCCAGAAGCCAGGAACTAGTTGAGTCTGTTCTTTGCCTGAAAAGGTAACATTGAAAGTGCAACTTTTCTATTCCTTAACCTTTCTATTCCAGCCAGAGTCTTGAAACTTACAGGGTCCTGACCCCTTGGGTGTCCTGGGGCTCTCCCACCCTTCTGACATTCCAACCCCTAGCTGGTGCAGACAGGGCAACTGCTGGGGCATTACCTCAGGCCAGTGTGTGTGTGTATTGGTCATGGTTACTGCCATGAGTGGCTGAACCCAAGGCTGAGTGTGTCTGGAAGGTGGTGCTTTCTTAGCATCCTCATTTTGGTGACAGCTGGGAAGCCCAGGATCAGGGTGCCCCATGCCCCAGCTGCTGAAGGGCTCCTCCCAAGAGGAGGAGAGTGGTAACGCAGCTGTGAGGGGCTGGACCTGCCCATGCGTGCATGTGCGTGTATGTGTGTGTGCACGTGTGCTTTCACATGCAGTGTGCAGCCAGAACTCTTGGCTGTATTATTCCAGAGCTCAGAGCTGTCGTCTGTATGTACCTGCAGCCAGGCCATGATGACCTGGAGCCTCATGTGTGTCTGGAGAAGGCCCCTTCCGGTCCCAGGCCCTAGCCTCCTGCTAAGTCCATCAGGAGCTGGCAGGGTGGTGTGGGGACTGCTGCTGCTTGGTGGTCGTCACAGGGGTACAGTGACATGGAGATATTCTGGTCAGCTGTGCCTCAGTGTGACAGAGTAACCAGTGTCTTGGTGTTTCCACAAGTGACATCCAGATGCCTTGCATGATCTGACGAGGACTTCATTCGGTGTGGCCTGGAATCTGGGGCAGAGGGGACATCCATGTTACTACTGAACTAAGATCAGGAGCTGGGGCTCGGAGTCTGTCCCTATGGGTCTTGGGGGTGACTGCATTCTGCTTGTAGTGCCAACTTGTGTGCCATCACGTGCTCATGGTGCCTGGTTCCAGACAAGGAGTGGGGTCCTAAGTGGTGTGGAGGGCCATGTGCCTGGGCAGTGTGGCCTGATGGCCTGACTCCCATTGCTTGCTGCTGTTCCAGGGCAGGTATGGGCACCAGAGCTCTGTGGGCTGTGGGTTGTGTTCTCAGTTTTTAGTTCTGCCCTAGCTGGTGCTGGCTGAGCCCTGGGCCTGCCTTGGGGCGACAGTGAGAACAAAATGGGCCTGCCAGCCTTTGGCAGCTGGCCAGAACGAGGTGGTAGCCCTGGGCTCCTGCCTTCTGCAGCCCCACGGCTTATGATGTTCCTGTCTCAGCCTACCTTTGCAACTATTAAACGGGGTGATGGCACTGGCTCCTCAGGGATGCCCAGCTCCTGGTGAGGAGGTGGCAGTCAGGCCCTGGTGGACACAGCTTGGGATATGTGGCTGGTGTGCGGTAGCAGCTTCGTCTTGGTCCCGGTTGATGTGCTGGGTCCCGGGACACAGGAGCATGTTCATGACGGCAGTGATGGGTGCAGGTGGATGTCATGGAACTTCCCAGGGCCCAGGGGCTCAGGGGGAGGTGGAAACCCTTCCTAGCCTCAGTTTACCCACTGTAAAGCAGGCCCTTGACTGGGGTTCTTGTCAGATGCTCATGGGGAGCATAGTCCTCCTGTGCCCAGCACCCCAGGATGCATGGTGGACCCTGTCATCCGCTGTGTTCCCCAGTGCTCCCTGGTGCTCACAGCAAAAGTTCGCTGCCCCCACCGTGGGGTCAGCAGCCTGTTCCCTCTCCCAGCTAAGCGTCTCCTTGTCCCTGTCCCTCTGAGGTGACTGTGGAGGGCTGGATGCGGCTATGGCCTCCGGAGCAGCCCCAAGGTGCTATCAGCCCCGGAGCTCCAGAGCAACAGCTTTGGTTAGGATCAAGGATTTTTCCATTGAGTGTGCAGGGGTCTCTCATGCCCCACAGGAACCTGGCGGGAAGTGTCCTTTTTGGGAGATTGATACCCAGGGCCTTCACAGTAAGCTACATCCCCATCTATTTTTTTGTCTTTCTGAGGCAGGGTTTCACTATGCAGATCAGGCTAGCCTTGAACTCACAGCAATCCTCTTGCCTCAACCTGGAATTATAGGCATGTGCTGCCATGCCTGGCCTCCCAGCCTATTTAGATGCAAGGTTTTGCTGAGTTGCTCTGGTGGGATTTGAACTGGTGATCTTCCTGCCTCAGCATCCCCAAGTGTGGGGATTATAGGTGAGTGCTCCCATGTCTGGCCTCATTTGTAAAGGATCTTTTTTTGTGTCCATTTTTTTGTCATGGTAGAATCTAGAACTGCCGTCTGGGTACCTCACTCTGGTGAGGGGTACCGCTGAGAGGGTATTGAGGGGGCAGCAGCTGCTGCTCATCAGAGGTCACGCCTGCGGGGACAGTAGCATGGTCCTGCATGGGAGGAGTCCACCTGCTGGAGCCAGTGCCCCTGCCTAGCAGGGCTGGGCAGCTGCTGGGGCTGGGTGTGGCCTAGGCTAGGGCAAACTTGGGGTGCCCTGGCTGTAGGGCTGGGAGCCCCTGGCCATGAGCCTGTCTGCCCCGCCTTGGGGCCCTGGACCCTGTTCTTCATGGACAGAAGGAAGCAGTTGGCTCTGTCCATCAGTGGCCGCCTGTCCTTGTGGATCTGGTTTCCAGGCCTGGGGTCTGGCTTAGGGTGGCCGCCCCCTGTGCTCCCTGTGGGTCCTGGCATGGTAGCAGGAATTCTCCAGGGAGGGTGTGGATCTGGTGCTGGGAGGGAGGGAGGGAGGGAGGGAGGACATCCCCATCCAGGCCTGGCTGTGGTGCCTCCTGGCTGGGTGGCCTCATGCTTGTTCCCTTTCCACAGAGCCCCTCCTGATCTAGAAGGCAGAGCCCATCTGGGGCCTCCCAGTGGTACTGGGACCTGAAGGGCACAGACCCAAAATAAGGGGCACCCATTGGACCCAGTACCTCAGGGAGAGATTCTGGGATACAAGGACATGTAGCGTGTGAGTCCTCGGGCTCCAGTGACCCCAGGTGTGTGGGGAGAGTGAGCCCCACCTCTGCCACCACAGGAGACCACCTTGTTGCAGGTGTTTGGTGGCTGTGATAATGTTGGACTTGAGCAGGACAGGCTGGGGTCATGGCTGCCCCTGGGTCTGACCTGAGACAGGGACCTGGCCTTTTTTCCTCTTCTGCTGGTCCTGCTGTCTGTCCTCGTGCTGCTGGTCTATATTGTCACCTGCTTCCTAGTGCGCCTGGCACCCCCCTTGTTCCCCAGTGCTTGTGGGTCCCTATGGAGTTGGCCAGCCTTCCCTGACCATCTTCCTAGCTTGGGTTCTCCTGGAAGTGGGGGTCCTCTTTGTCTAGGCCCTCAGGAATGGGCTTCCTGCTCAGGGGTCAGGCCAGGCCAGAAATGCCTCTATCAGTGGGCAGTTGCTCCCTGCCCAGGCTGACCCAGGGCCTGGCATGGAGGACCCTGGCAGTGGTACTGCCATCAGGGTCCTGGCAGGAAGGGCTGGGCCCCATGGCTTGATGGGTGGTCAGGCTCCTGTCTCTCCTTCTGGATGTTTCCTACAGTGACAGTCACGGGTACTTGCCCCCTCCCTTGGCTGTCCCGGCCCCTAGTGCAGCTTTGGCTCTATTTGTTGATATATCCCTTGGGGCCTGCCAAGCCTTGGGGGCTGGGTGTCTGCTTGTCCTCCGCACTCTGAGGAAGAGGAAAGCAGCAGAGCCGAGGCCCAGACCTGAGGAGGAGTGGCCAGGTGGTCTGCTCAAGGCCCCATCAGGGACCCAGGTCTGCACCTGTGCTCTGCCTCTCCTGTGGGCCCCTGCTGGGTTGGGGGTATCTGGGGCAGTCACATCGCTGTCAGCACAGTTGGAGGCTATGCAGGTGCCAGCCTGGGCTTTCCCTGAGCTCTAGGACTCTTGTGGTTTATACAACTTCCGCCCTGGGTGCTTTCGGAGCTTCGGTTGAAGGTGGTGACTTTCACTTATCCCTCGCCTCTGCTGGGCCTGGTGGGCAGCGTCCGTGGCGCAGGCTCCTGGGTTGGCTGTCTGCCGAAGGAGGCTGGGGGCAGGGAGGGTCTCAGAGCCTTAGTTTCCTGCTCGGAGGCGGCTCCCTCCCTGCCTCTCTGAGCCCAGTCAGAGCAGAAGTTCAGGGCAATGACAGTGTTGTACCTGGCCTCTGGCCTCCCTGGTGAGTGGGCAGGGTGAAGCTGGGATTACCTTAGTAAGAGCTGTCTGGGTGGGTGGCTGTGCGGAGGAGGGAGGCCAGCAGAGGTGGGGGCTTGCGGTGTCATTGCCTGGATTTTACTCATTTCCCCTGTACCCCAGGAGGAGCAGGAAGACACCCAGCCCCTGGAGGTGGGCAGGGTGTGCTGGAGACCTAGGCTTGCAAGCCTGAACTCTGTGGGTCTAGACTTGCAGCCCCATCCCATCCACTCCTCCCAGGTCCATCCTGCCCTCCTGGACTTGGGGAGGGGTGGCACTCACCCCAGTCTCGCAGTTGCTGGGTGTGCGAGCGGTGTCCCCTTTCCCATGTGCCAGGGGCATTGGCTGTGGACCACCGTGAGGGCACTGGCCCCTCTTGCCCACAGCTTCTCCCCTCATTGGCAGCAAGCTCCTGCACAGCCTCTGAAGGACTCCAACGACACCCCAGGACTTCCTGCTGTGAGCCCATCATTGGCAAAGCGTTTGCATGGGTTCCAATTCCGGAAAACAGACAGATGCTCAGTCTGCTCAGGGGTGCGCGTCCTCCACTCGGGGGTCAGTGCCCTTCATTCACCCCCTGCATGTGTTCTAGGAGACTGACTCAAGGCCATGTGTGGGTGTGGGGCCACCCCAGAGGTGAAAGTTCCTCCTGATCCTTGAAGAGGGCCCAGCTGCCCAAGCGCCTGGTGCAGGGCTTAGTTTCCCTGAGGGACCTGGCTTTACTTGGGATGGAGGAGGAACGCGCCCACCTCCCTTGGAATTCGCTGGGCCCTGCTTAGCCTGAAATCTGAGAGGTTGACAGTGGCCACTGGAAGCCCAGGAGGGGCCAGTGACGAGCATGTGAAGGTGAGGGGCCGCGTCCTCTGTGCCTGCCAGTGAGCACCATGTTTCCCGAGCCAGGAGGAGGAGAAGGCTGTGCTCGCTTGGGGCAAATGTCTGTGAGTCACACATGCCCCTAGGGTGACTGAGCCCTCCCCCTTGTGAGCTGGAGACCCGTCCTTTTTCCCTCCCAGGCCACTGTCACTCAGCTGCTGGCCGGTGTGTCCTTTGCCCCGCAGCCACACTGCAGGAAAGGAGTAGTGGCCCTGTGACTCTGATCTGTCCTGTCCCTGGGCGGCATGGGAGCCGCTTGCTGTGTGCCAGCCGTGCCGCTGAGTGCTGAGACCGCCAGCATCTTCCTTTGCTTATTTTCCTCCCTTTTTTTGTAGTGCTGAAGGTTGAATGCAGGGGATCTCTACTCCTGAGCTGCAGCCTGGGCCTTTTAAATTTTGAGACAAACTCTCAAGTGAGATGCTTCACTGGCCTCAGAGCCTTAACCCTCCTGCCTCAGCCTCCAGAGTAGCTGGGATTATAGGTGTGCACTGCCAGGCCTAGCTGTCTGTGTCTTTTACAAATGAGACTCCACAAGGGCTCCATAGTCTGGCCTGTGATGGTACCTGTGTCCATGCCCATCAGCTTCCTGGGTCCTTTGTCCTGGGGTTGTCTGTCATGCAGAGGCCCCAGGATGGGAAGGCACAGGGTTCTGCTTCCCTCCCCATGCTGTGACATCTCTGGTCCCCTATAAGTGGAATGGAAGGGGCTGCACCCTGGGCGTGAGCTGCTGACCGGAGCCTGTCCTCAGGGACTGGGCGTCTCAATGCTCCCTGATTTGTTGCACTGGCCTCACCCGGAGTGGGAGCCAGGCATGCTGGGAATGACGGTCCCGCTATACTGGTGATCAGGGGGGTGCCTGGCTGCGACTCTGTCACTGGGAGGGCCCTCCAGCTGCTGCCAGCTCAGCTTGGGGTGCAGTCCTTTGAATGTTGCTTAGTGAAAGCCATTTGTGTCACCTCTGTTCTGCCTGGGGGTCACATTGTTCTTCCTGGTGCCCCATTGCATCTCGTGGGGATGTGGCCTAGTCAGTGGGGGAGCAGGACAAACTGTCTTGCCTGGTGCCCTGGCCCGGCCCTGCTAAGTGCTGGATGGAGGCCCTGGGCACTTCTCTTCTGGTCTGTGGGTTCCAGGGCTGGGGAATGGCGGAGCACCTGCCTGCATCCCGCCTTCCTGGAGCTGCTTATTCTCCAGGCCAGTCTCTGGTTGTGTCCTGATCCTTGAGCTGTGCAACGACTGGCCCTAGGACCTCATATGCTGGTCACCCCTGGGCTCCAGGTTCCAGCCACAGTCACCCCAGAGCCCAGTGGGAGATAGAGGCACAGGTCAGGGTACAGGCCACCCTGGCATCTGCTCTGCTTGGGTGCCAGTAGGGTCCCAGGCCATTGCCTGGTCATGAATGAGGAGGAGGCAGGTGGAGCCCTGGGGTTGTCCAGCATTACGGAGATGGGCACCCTGCTGCTGCTCAGTCTGAATGTCTCAGGGTCCCCCAGAGAGACGGTGGCGCTGAGGCAGGAACTGCCTGCTGCCCTGGCACAGTGGTGCTGGAGAAGGTCCCAAGAGTGACCCGGGTGGGCTTTGGTCTGGAGGTAAGGACGCAGGCTGTGGCTTCTGGCACAAGCTGGAGGGTCCTGAGCGCTGCCTTGTGTCAGCAGCGCCTCCTGAGGAGTGGGTGGCGGGGAGATGCAGCCAATAACAGCATGGGAGGCTGCAGGCCTGCCAGGAGTGGGTGTAGGGGCACAGCACCCAGCTTTCCGTGGGGCATAGGCTAGGTGTGCAGCATTGCTGATATCTGTGCTGTCAACACCCACCCCCCCACCCCCCCCCGCGGAGTGTAGGGGCCCAGCGGGATGTCAGCTGGCTCAGATGCTGCGTTCCAGCCCTGCTGGTTGGCATGCACCAGTCTTAAAGGTGGTTGGGTCCAGCATCGGATAGCAGCCAGTCCCTTGGGTTGCAGCCCCAATCATCCATAGCACAGGGGGAACCTAAATGTTGGTTTGAGTCTTGGGTAAATCGTAAGTCCTGGCCCCAGGAGGCCCTGTGGGCAGCATGAGGTCTGTCCCTGCCTGTGCCAGTGGGAGCAGGCTCACGTTGTTCAGGGTCCTGGCCAGCGGCCTCCCTGGAGGGCTAGGGGTCTGGCTGAGTGCCGGGAGTGGTGTGCAGGCTCCACTGCCTAGTGCTGCTGCAGCCTGCTCAGCTTGTGTGGCCGGTGTTCCTGGCCAGGCTCTGGTCACCAGTGTGTCTGAAAGCCAGCCCAGGATGTAGCCCATGGGCAAGGTGGCACAAGGCTCATGTTGCCCTCTGTGGCCGTCCTGATTGGCCAGGGCCCGCGGGTCACAAATGCCAGCTGTTCTCCTGGATACCGTAGAACCTCGAGTGCTGCCCGGTGCAGGGTGAGGGTCTGCGAATGCTGGGGTGGTGCGGTTCTTCCTGTCTTTCGGATCTGTGTCGTCGTCCTCTTTGGCTGGGGATAGCAGAGAGTGTGACAAGAACACATTGGCCCTTCACAAGCGGAGGACACTGGGTGGTGAGCCAGGTCCTTACTCTAAGCCCTACACCTGGGCACAGGTGGGCTGGGCCCAGGTTGCCCCACTGTCCAGTTCATCTCTGTTGGGCACCAGTGGTTGGTGAATTGCTCTGACCGGTGGCAGCTACATGTCTCATGGGTGGGGCAGCCGGTGGCCTCGTGGGACTGGGCAGTGTCCCTGTGGAGGTGACAGTGGGCTCCAAGCTGACAGCCGCTTTCGGCCCCTCTCCCTGCAGGTGGTGCCTGAACGGGCCCAGAAATGGGAGCCCGAGCCTCCTCGGAGAGCACAGCAGACTCTGGGGTCTCTGCGTGCTGTGGCAGTGACAGCCAGTGAGCAGCTGCTGGAGGATGTCCACCACCACGGCAGCCGCCCCCGCGGGCCTCCCCGCGCCCCCAGGCCCTGTGAACCCACCCCCGCCCGAAGTGTCCAACCCCGGCAAGCCCGGCCGCAAGACCAACCAGCTGCAGTACATGCAGAACGTGGTGGTAAAGACGCTGTGGAGGCACCAGTTCGCCTGGCCCTTCTACCAGCCCGTGGATGCCATCAAGCTGAACCTACCCGTGAGTGGGAACAATCAGTGCCCCTGGGTGAGGGCACAGGCCTGCTGGGCACAGGAGAGCGAGTGGCTGCCCCAGGAGTGGGCAATGGGAGAAGCCCCAGTCTATTGGGGAGGTTGTGAGAAGCCAGGCAGGCCAGGTGCAGGGCCCAGGTCTTCACTGTAGTGATAGAGGCCATCCGGCTGGGTCACCATACCCTTGCAGTTAGGTGCGGAGTGCACTAAACCTACTTTCCGGGCAGTGGTGCCCACAGCTATACCTGGTTTTGACCTGGACCCAAGTAGAGAAACAGGAGGAGAAGGTGCCCAGGGCCAGTCCAGGGTGGCTCTTGGCTCCTTGTGGGTTTAGAGCTGTAGAGCAGTTGGGGTACGTGCTGGCTCCAGGCCCCTGCACCTGCCTGCGTCCCATGGCTGTGCGGGGGAAGCAGAGTGATGGTGAGAGTCTGCTGGTGATGCCTGTGAATGTCTCTTTCCTAGGATTATCATAAAATAATAAAAAACCCGATGGATATGGGGACTATTAAGAAGAGACTAGAAAATACTTATTACTGGAGTGCGAGTGAATGTATGCAGGACTTCAACACCATGTTTACAAACTGTTATATTTATAACAAGGTAAGAAGACGTGAAGCATGCGCAGGGGCCCCTGGGCGGCCGGCTAGTGCCCAGCGGGTCAGGATGAACCGTGTCCTGGCGCCTAGCCCTTCCCTGCTCCTGGCCTGCAGGGCCCTTAAATGTGGCCCACGGGCTGTAAGGTGTCTTTACTCGCGGCCACCTGAGGAACCAGTACAGAGGTGAGAGCCCAGCCTGCCAGCAGGAGGTGGCCGAGCCAGTGGTGCAGCCACACAAAGTCCCTGCCTGCAGAGGTGTCCAGCAGCGAGAGAGCAGAGCAGGAAGTCAGTGTGAGCCTAGTTTTTGAACAGAGTCCTGCTATGTGTGCCAGGCTGGCCTGAAACTCACTGTGTAGCCCAGGCTGACCTCTGACTCATAGTGACCCTTCTGCCTCAGCCTCCTGGGTGCCAGTATTACAAGTGTGCCACCATGCACAGCTTTGGTGTTTTTTTTAATGGTGATGTGACCTAAATAAAATAAAAATGACGGGTGTGTTGAGCTAAGAGAACCTCCTTCTCTCTGTGCGATGGTGTGGCAGGTGGGTTTCTCCCCCTGGGTGGATCCAGGACCTTACACATGTTGTGCATCCAAGCTGCATACCCTGGTTTCTGTCATTCATGCTCAGCTGTCTTTTCCCAGGATTTTCCACGTTGAAATGTATTTGTCTTACCCCATTCAGTCTCCTAAGAAGTTCTCAATAAAAACTTCCTTGAGCTGAAACACAAGTGTCTTTTGCCAGCATTTGGCTCCCTTCTCAACGAGTGACCCGGGCTCTCTGTCTTCAGCCCACAGATGACATAGTGCTAATGGCCCAAGCCTTAGAGAAAATTTTTCTGCAGAAAGTGGCCCAGATGCCCCAGGAGGAAGTAGAGTTGTTACCCCCTGCTCCGAAGGGCAAAGGCCGGAAACCGGCTGCGGGGACTCAGAGTGCAGGTAAAGGGCTGGTGTGGTGGGCAGGGTGGCTGGGGACAGGGGCCCTGGCCCTGCAGGGTATATGTCCCAGGTGTCAGGTGATAGATCTGGGCTGCATGTGGGCTGCAGACCGTGTTTGCAAGGAGCTGGCCTGGGTCAGGATGGTGACCTTGTCTCTGGCTCACATTCCTGTCCTCTTCCAAATCTTGCTTTTGATGTGCTTTCAGTGACCTGGGAGTCCCAGGTCTGCCCTGCTCCCTGGTTGACTGTGTCCCTACTGAGGGTGCACCCTGAGTCCAGCCTGCAGTGGGAACGTGGATTGGAGATGTGGCCAGCAGGGTGGCTGCCTGGGCAGTGGCGGCAGGGACAGGCCATGTGGTTAGGAAGCCAGGTGCTCAGCTGACACTGGTGGAATCGGGGCCCCCCTCTCCCTGTGCCATGCCTAGATCTGGCCCTGAGCTCCTCCTGGGCTCCTCTCCCAGCCTCTGGTCTCTGGCCAGAGTTGGCCTCTCCTTGGGGCAGGGAGCGTTTAGCCCTGATCTCTGGACCATTTCTGCCTAGGGCAGGGACTTGGGAAGGGGCGAGGCTGGTTGGGGAAGAGGGGTCCTAGATGCTTCCTGAGGTGGAGGCCAGGCTGCCAGCTGAGCTCTCTGTCTATCCTGAAGGTACGCAGCAAGTGGCAGCTGTGTCCTCGGTGTCCCCAGCGGCCCCCTTCCAGAATGTGCCCCCCACAGTCTCCCAGACACCCGTCATTGCTGCCACCCCTGTACCAACCATCACCGCCAATATCACATCGGTCCCTGTCCCTCCGGCTGCTGCACCACCACCTCCCACGACTCCCATCGTCCCTGTGGTCCCTCCCACGCCACCTGTTGTCAAGGTGAGCATCCCCAAGGCTGGGGGGCCGTCTGGCGAGGTTGGGAGGTCCATGCCCCACAAGGTTCCTGAATTGGACAGAATTGGGGTGCCAGGGGTGCTGCTGATGTTTGGAGAGGCTCTCTGTGCAGATGAGGAGACTGAGGCTCGGGGCTGGCTGGAGGTCACACAGCTGGTAAGGGCTGGGCTGGACTCGAGCCCCAGCTTCTGTGGCCTAGTGGCTGTGACTTTTACAGCTCGTCAGTCAGGGTGGGGAAGGCATGCGGCAGCATGGAGGGCTGGTGAGGACCCTGGGGAGAAAGGAGTGGTGGCTGTGGTCAGGGCTTGTGGTCCCTCCCTGCCCCTCCCCCCCGAGCCTCCTGTGGGCCTGCTGTGGAGTGGGTACCCTGCGAGCGTGGGGCCAGCAGAGCCCCTGGAGTCTCCCACGTGCCTTTGGAGGGACACTCATGCGTATTATCTTCTCCAATTTGATCCCCACAGCCACCCTCTGGGGCAGACAGTAGTCCCCCTCTAACAGATGAGGAAGCGGGCGCCCAGGGTTAGATGGCTCGCCCAAGGTAAAAATGCCACCCCCATTGCTCCCCCTCCCATGGCCTTCACTGCCTGCACCTCGGGTGGCACCTGGCCAGCCCCTCCCGCAGCACGGGGCGGTTTTGGAGCATGTCCCGTTTGCCACGGCCGGATGAGTCTGCCCCTCCCTCCCTGGGCCCTCTGTGGCACGTGCTTGGTGCTTGGCCTCCCATGGGTTCTGGGAAGTGTCTGGGTGGCCAGCTTGTGCCCCTGCCAGCCTCAGGGTAGCAGCTTGGCCAGGGCAATGTCTGTGATGGGCCTCTAGATGTTAACTCCCAGGTGCTGTCGGCCTGATCTGGGAACTTAGGAGAGGACTGCCGAACACGGGCAAGGCCCTGGGAGCTGCTCCTGCTCTGTCTGTCCCAGGGCACCACGGACAGCTGGGCAGTGCCTCGTCTAACCAGGTCTACAGCACAGAGTGGAGAGGCTGTCACACCCAATCCTCCCCCCCAACCAGGTCCTTGAGCCTCAAACCTGCTGTGGCCGCTTCTTGTCTCCTGGTTGGGCCACCCTGCGTGTCCAGCCTGGAGTACTCCTCACCTCCTTTGTCTCACTTGTCTAGTGTTGGGCCTGGTGGGGCCTCCCCTGCCTCTTTCTTGCTGGTCTTCAGAGGCAGGTCTTCCCCACTCTGCCCCGGAGGTTTTTGAGGACTGGTGGATTCATGCAGCTCCCAAGGTCCCTACCAGGCCTGGTGCACAGCCACCCCACCCCACCAGCTGGTTCTTGGCCCGCTGGAGAGAGGCCCTGGGCTTGGTGAGGGTGGGCTTCGGAGTCCCAGCCTCAGCGCTGCCAGCTGTGTGACCTGGGGCCAGTGACCCAGCCCCTCAGAGCCTCGGGATCCTCCACTGTGGGGACCACTGGAGGATGAGGTTAGACCGTGCATGTGGTCTCTGAGCACAGTGCCCAGCCTGTGGGCCAGACGCATGGCTGCTGCACGGCCTGGTCCCTGGTCCTCCTTCCCCATGCTCAATGCTTGCTTTGCTGTTACAGAAGAAGGGTGTGAAGCGGAAAGCAGACACCACGACGCCCACCACCTCCGCCATCACTGCCAGCCGGAGCGAGTCACCCCCACCGCTGTTGGATCCCAAGCAGGCCAAGGTGGTGGCCCGGCGGGAGAGCGGGGGCCGTCCCATCAAGCCCCCCAAGAAGGACCTGGAGGATGGTGAAGTGCCGCAGCATGCGGGCAAGAAGGGCAAGCTCTCGGAGCACCTGCGGCACTGCGACAGCATCCTCAGGGAGATGCTGTCCAAGAAGCATGCCGCCTATGCCTGGCCCTTCTACAAGCCTGTGGATGCTGAGGCGCTGGAGCTGCACGACTACCATGATATCATCAAGCACCCCATGGACCTCAGCACTGTCAAAGTACGTGTGGGGCCGGGGATGAGCCCCTGGGGGAGCACAGCTTGGGTCTGACCTTTGTACAGCAGCGGGGCAACTCCATGGTCCCATTGTCTGAAGCTTTGGGGTTGTTTGCTGTCATTGAGCCCAAGGTGACTATTCTGTTTATTTCCTTCTTCTCCCCTGTTCTGTGTGATCAGGCAGCAGCCTGGGCTATGGTCTGCTCTTGGGGCTGGCATGGGTCACGTCCCTCACACTGGCTGTCGGGGTCTCATGGCAGGCCTCCCAAGGCCGCAGCAGTGGCGTCTGTCCGTGGAGTGGCCAGACTAAGGCTAGTGGTGGTGATGCTAACCTTCGGCAGCTCTTCCTGCAAGCTTGCTGTCCCTTGGTGGTGGTTGTCAGTGGTTGTGCTGGCTGCCTGTTCAGGTAGCCATGCACTGGCCAGCAGGGCTGCCTCTAAACAGGGAGCCTGAGGCTGGCAGCAGCCTGCAGCCACCTTGCAGCCCCACAGCCTCTGTGTCTGCATCTCCTATGCAGTCGGCTTCTGGGGTGGTATTGGGTGGTTGGACCGCACTGATTTAGCCTATGCTGATGTCCTGGGTCAGAGCGGCAGATCCATCCTGTGATTGTGACGTGCTTTGTTTGGGCTTTGAGGCCCCAGCAGGACTACTGCTGTGTTTAGTGGCTGCACCGAGGAGAGAACCCAGGGCCTTGCTCATGCTAGGTTTTTTGCTCTACCACTGCATCACACCCGGTGTTTGTAAAACTATATTTTGGGACAGGGCCTCTCTGAGTTGACCAGGCTGACTTCAAACTCTTGTTCCTCCTGTTAGAACCTCCAAAGTAGCCATTGTCCGGAGTAGAAGCCACCACGCCTGGTTGCCGTGCCCTTTTAGGGACAGCCCTTAGTGGAGAGCAGCATGAACAGCCTTCATCTGTGAAAGCTGGCATGTGAGAAGGGAAAGACACCCTTGAGATGGCGTAGACGCTGAAGGTCAAGCTAGAGGAGGTGGCTTTTGTCCTGGCACAGGCCAAAACTGGAAGTAAGACTTCCTCTGATGCTAACAAGCCTCCAGGTGCCACTGTGCTCCCCAGCTTCTTTCCAGCCAGCCCTTTGCACAGGGGTGCGTGTTCCAGGGGCCCCAGGGTTGCCAGGGGAGTGTTCTGGAGTCAGAGTTGGGATCTGGACCGACCAAATCCTACACCCACCTTGTCTACCTCCCTCTAGGATTCCTGACTACTAGTTTCTACTTGAAACAATCATGAGGCCAGGGCTCAGTGCTTATAAACACCTCGCCTCCCTGTGCCCAAAATCTCAGTTTCTTCTTAGCTCTGTGCCCTGCTCCCACTCCCGCCCCCAGCACATCCCAAAGCCCATCTCTGTGGCTGCTGAGTGACTACTGCCCAGTACACCCAGGCCTTGTCCTCTGTGGTCCTGGGACACTGCAACAGCTCCCTGTGGTGGCCAGGTCACTGGATCACGTGCCCCGCCAGGGTGTGGAGCCGGAGCAGGCCTGGGGTGTGCGCTGCTTCTGTGCACGGAGCTGTGCTCCTTAATGGTAGGAAGTGGGGTTTCATCTGTAAGCGGAGCAGCACTGGGCTGTGGAGGGTGGAGAGCGACGTCTCTCCAGGAGTCTGCACTTTGCTTCCCCATCACCACCGAGGCAGACAGAAGTCCCACGAGGGATTGTGTGGTGGCCATCAGGGGAACTGTGCTATTTGCCAAGTGCCTTTTCTTCCCATGGAGGCTCTGTGCCTGGGTCCCCTATTCTTTTTCAAGGTCTCCAGTTACCTCTGTTCCCTCCTTTTAGGCTCCCCAAGCCTAGGCCCCAGAGAGCTGAGCCAGGGTGTTCAGGCTGGTGGTGGGTGTCCTGAGGATCCTGAGTCTTGTCTGTGCTTGCAGACCTCCTGGAGGTGCTGTGTTCGCCGGGCCTGCCCACTCACAGCCTGTCCTTGTGTTGCAGAGGAAGATGGACAGCCGTGAGTACCCAGATGCACAGGGCTTCGCTGCTGACATCCGGTTAATGTTCTCGAACTGTTATAAGTACAATCCTCCCGACCACGAAGTGGTGGCCATGGCCAGGAAGCTCCAGGTAACGGAGGCTGGGCATGGGAGCCGTTAGAAGCTGGGGTTGGTGCTGGAGGCACAGTAGCCCTGGATATGGGGTGGGCACCCAGGCAGGTGGCACACGGGCCTCACTTAGCAGCCTGCTGTCTCGGAGTGGTGGTGGAGAGCTGGTGCCCAGGTGTGCTTGCTCCGGGGCTGCAGATGACATGGGAAGTGGCACAGGCAGGGCTGGTGACTGGTTGAGAGGCGATACATCCGATGACAGCTCGGCTCAGCCTTTGCTCTCCTGACAGCAGCAGGAAGCTGTGTTGGAGGAAATGTGGGAAGTCCAGGCCCTGCTGGGCAAGGCAGGGAGTGTCTTGGTCTGGCTGTTAGAGCCAGGACCTCACGATGTCCTCACAGAGGTGTGTGCGTGCAACTGCACTCCGCTGCTGAGGCGCTGCACACAGGTGTCTCTGTCTGCCTCCTGAAATCTGGAGGCAGGGGTTGGCTTACACTTGGGAGGATATGTGACCAAAAGACTTTCCTTTTGGAGGAAAAAGTAAAAATGATGGGTTTCAGTGGGCATAGGGGCCAACCCCTGGAATCCCAACGCTGTGGAGGCTGAGGCAGGAGGATCACAAGTTCAAGCTGGGCCTGGACAACCTAGTGGCTTAGCAAAAATGAAAACTTCTGTCTGGGAGAGAAAGAAGAGGAAAATGGGTTTCCCACCAACCCTGCTTTTCCGGCGCTTCACTGAGCGAAGTCTTAAGGTGAAGCAGGTTCATGGTGGGACAGGACTATAGTCAGGTCAGCTACAAGATGAGGACAGTTGCTTAGGTGATGCGGCTCCACTGGAAGTCACACTGGGGGACAGAACTGGGTGGACCAATGAGCTCACAGCAAGGCTATAGTTGCTGGGGTAACACTGACTCAAGGGGTCGATGGGGAAGGAAGTCACGTAGCAAGGGCACTTGGGCAGAGATTTCCTGGAAGATGTAGGTCAGGGAGGTTTGAGCAAGGCTCTGTCTTGAACAGTAAATAAACCTGTAAGTGGAAGGGGTGGAAGTTTTAGAAACATAGTTCAGTGCAGGAACCTCAGGTTCAATCCCCAGTCGTGAAGTAGCAGCCCGGCAACGTGGTTCTGTGCCCCATTGGTGAAGGATTGTTAGCACGTGGGGTTCTTTTTTTTTTTTCCCTTGTGCCTGGGTTTCTTGCTCAGCCTTGTTCTGTGGGTCCTGCGACATGGCCCGTGTCATCATCCTGAAGTATGCAGGACAGAAATGAGGCCCTGCTGGCATTATTTCTTCCTTTCTGAATGTGACCCTTGGGGGGTCCTTCCCAGGCGCTGGCAGAGGAAGGCCTAAGATGCTCTGTCTGTGCTTGGTCCGAGGCTTCGCACAGGCTTCGAACCTAGGGCCCTCATACTGAGCTGTGTCCCCAACTCAATTAATTTGGTACCGGTGATCAAACTCACGACTGCATGCTTGCAAGGCTGGTGCTTATGCCACTGAGCTAAATCCCTAGCCCAGCCCTTTATTTTTTAATAACAGGATTTTGCTAACTTACCAGTGGCCCAGGCTGGGCTTGAATTCAGAATCCTCCTGCCGCAGCCTCCTGGACTGATGGGATTACCAGGGTGCGTCACCATAGCCAGCCTTGCCATTAGCTTTATGAATTGGGCTCTAGGCTGCCTCCCCAAGTAGTTTCCTAGGGCAGAGCTCTGAGGTCAGCACCTCCAGATGGTCTTTGCTCCAAGACCAGTGTGTCGGAGACTGGCCCTAGAGCAGGCTCTGGAAAGTGGCCTCCAGCCTGGTGGAGTGGTGTGGTATGGTTAGAGGCTGGTGTCACCCCTTGTGGTCTTGTGGCCGTGCACGTGTCTGCTGTGAATCCGGGCAGCCCCAGAGAGTGGGATCCATGGAGAGGGGCTTTCCACAGCCATAGAGGGCGGAACTCTGGGCTTCGTGGGTGGTAGGAGAGCACTCTGCTGCCAAGCTGTACCCTGGTGCTCAATTCACAGGACGAGACTGGCCCTCAGTGGCTTTAGGTCACTGTACGGGGTGTGACACCTTGTGCTGGGCTCTAGGGATGGGATGAGGCCTTCAGAGCCTCTCGTCCAGGGTCTCTGTTGGTGGCACACTGCTGTCACTCAGAGCGGCCTGGCACCTGGACAGGAATGCCCACATCTCCCACAGATAGCCTCCTATTTAATCAGGCAGTGCCCAGACCAGCTGGCCCGGACTCTGGGCCTGGCCCTGTGCATAGCCTCTCGTACAGCTGAAGGGCCCCTCAGGAGAACTCGCCACGCCCAGGGCCTGCCCCATGGGCGTCCAGTCCTCAGGGCCCCTGTGCTTTCCCAGGACGTGTTTGAGATGAGGTTTGCCAAGATGCCCGATGAGCCCGTAGAGGCACCCACGCTGCCTGCACCTGCAGCCCCAGTGGTGAGCAAGGGCACCGAGAGCAGCCGCAGCAGTGAGGAGAGCTCGTCGGACTCAGGCAGCTCGGACTCAGAGGAGGAGCGGGCCACGAGGCTGGCCGAGCTGCAGGAGCAGGTGAGGGCTGGCGCCCAGATCCCGTGGCTACCTCTGCGGACTCTGCTGTGTGTCTGTCAGGGCTTCTGGTGGTAGCACTCGTGCTGTGCGGAAGTGCCTCACTCCACCTGCATCATAGAGCTGATGCTAAGTCCAGAGACCCAGCTCACTTTCCCTGTGCAGGGCTGGGGCCTGGGTATGGAGGGGATGGAGCAGAGCCCCCAAGTCAGGAGGCGACAAGCGGAGCAGTGGGGATCAGATTGGGAAGCTGGCATGGGGGTGGGGGGAGGGGCTGGGCCAGGATAGAGCGGCCAGACTGGCAAGGTCCTGTACGTGTATCTCCTAGAGAGCCTGGGCCAGGGCCACGCTGTCAGCTCACCTGCCTGCTGGGTTTGTGGGTATCTCTGCAGGTGGCACTTAGGCACTGGGAAGGGGGAGCCCACTTTGGTCCTGCAGCCTTGGTATGTAGCTCCTGGCCATGGTCTGCATCTCTCTGGTACAGGCCCTTAGGTCTCAGGCTCCTTCCTGTTTGAAGAGTGGTGACTTGCACCAAAGACAGTGGCTTCTGTCACAGTGCCTCTGTGCTGGAGCCCTGTGCTGAGCCCATCACCTGGGAGCAGGGCACCAAGGCTCGGGGAGGCAGACTAGGAAGGTGAAGGGGCTGAGTCATGGGGGGCAGCACCAGCAGGGCAGTGCCCTGGGCCTGGGCTTGGCAGCCTGCTCAGTTGCCCGCTCTCTTGCAGCTGAAGGCCGTGCACGAGCAGCTGGCCGCCCTCTCTCAGGCCCCAGTGAACAAACCAAAGAAGAAGAAAGAGAAGAAGGAAAAAGAGAAGAAGAAGAAGGACAAGGAGAAGGACAAGGAGAAACACAAGGTCAAGTCTGAGGAGGACAAGAAGGCCAAGGCTGCCCCAGCCACCAAGCAGGCCCAGCAGAAGAAGGGCCCAGCCAAGAAAGCCAGCAGCACCACAGCGGCCGGCAGGTGAGCCTCCGGGGCAACCTCGGGTGGAGCTGATTCGAGTACGTCCCTCTGTGAGCTGGCGTCTTCCTGGGGAGTGGGCAGCTCTGGCCTTCCTTGGCCCTGAGCCTCATGGCTCTGGCTCAGTTTCTGCCTGGCTGTGGCCTGCCGGGATGAGTGTGGGGTGGCAGGCCGTTGGCAGTCGGGAGGATTCTGTCCTGGCCAGGGGTGGGGTGGCAGCAGGGGCAGAGTCTGGGTGTATGGCCCAGAAGCCACAGACCCTTTCCTTTCAGAACAGAGGCAGCTGTGGTATTCCTGGTGCAAGGGGGGGGGGGCAGGTGGGCAGCACCTGCAGGGTCAGCTGTGTTCTTGATGGTGGCCAGGTGGTGGCAGTGTCCTCTGAGCAAGGGAAGGGAGCTGTGGTGGATGGAATGGTGCCATGGGAGGCAGAGACGAAAGAATATGCCTCTCGGTGGCCATTGTTGCCACATTGGCAGAAGAGATGGCCATGGTGCCAGACGTGGGCATGGAAGAAATGTGTCATTTTAAGTGAAGTGTTGGTGGCCAGGTGTCCTTTCCTCTGTCACTTCTTGCCCTCTTCTCCCTGTGGTGGGAGATGCAGGTCGCTTTCCTTAAACCAGTGTGTCCAGTTGGGTCACGGGATAACTGGCCTAGGGTACGGCAAGCGCAGTATTGGAGTGACCCACACAGCTGAGCAGTGCTGTCTGCCTTTGTGTTCTGGGCGGATTTAGGGAACTGGCGTCCTGAAGTGCGTGGTGGAATTCGCCAGCAGAACCGTCTGGGCTGGAGTCAGAGTGTGGAGAGGTCTGTAGCCGTGAATTCAGTTGTTCTAAGGGCCCAGGTTGCTGTCTTGGTAGATTCCAGGCCCTCCGTCTCTCCATGGTGAGTTTGGGGCTGAGTATCTTGCAGTGTGACCCCGAATCATGGAGATGTAGGTCTGCAGGTCACCGTGACGCCCCCTTTCTGTCCTGCTGTGGAGAAGTTGCGTTTCTGCGTTGGTAAATCTGGATGGGGAGTTAGTATGGCATGGAGTTTTCAGAGGAGGACGAGGCATTTGGTCCTTTGTGTTTCCTGTGTGTGCCTCCCGCCGTGGTCTGCCCCTTGGAGCTTCCTGAGGTGGAGGCGTGGGGACCACCAGGCCACCTTTGTCTGCCTCGACCCCGAGTGCTATTGCACTTCCTCGCACGCCGCTGGTCCGAATTGTTCTGTAACCCATGACTGTCTGCGGACTTCTTCCCCTTTGACCAAGGGGTTGTTTGAAATTGTTGTCAGATTTCCAAGTGTTTGGGGTTTTTCCAGCTGGGTTCTGCTTATCAATTTCTAGTTTGATTCTATTAGGGTCAGAGACTGTGCTTGTAGGATTCTCATAATCTTTACCTTTTTTTTTTTTTTGAGGTACTGGGGATCAAACTCATGACCTCATGCTTGCCAGGCAGGCACTTATGCCTCTGAGCTAAATCCCCAGCCCATAACCTTTACCTTTGTTAGTGCTTATTTCATGGCCTAAAAGGTGACCTCAGTGAATCCCACTTGCACTTGGGTGGGTATGCAGGGGCAGGCTCGGCTGTAATCCCAGCGCTGAGGGTGGCTGAGGCAGGAGAACTACAACTTCAAGTCCCCCCTGGACAGTTCACAGAGGCAGAGGCTGGGTCTCAGAGGAGAGCAGGAAAGGCTGCAGTGCCCTGGCTTCGGTCTCTGGCAGTGCTCAGAGTGCAGCAGAAAGCACAGGGTGCTGTCCCACAGTCTTGCAAGCTGTCTGAAGCGTCTCCGCCTCACATCAGTGGGCTTAAGTTGGCTGGAGGTGCTGCTGTGCATCTCTGTCCACTCTCGGGCCCCTGCTTTCTTAGCGGCTGAGCATGCTCTTGGAGCCTGCGAGGGTCGGGAGGGTTTTCCTGGCTTCTCTTTAGCTGGCAGCTTTTGCTCCATGTGTCCCGCAGCTGAACTCTGTGATGTCCCCCATTAGGCTTTGCCGTTGTCTCGCCGTTGTCCCCATCCCCTCCTTTCCATGCTCTCCTGACACTGCCCTCCCCTGCGGTCAATTGCGCCTTCTCCTGTCGCTTTCCCCCACTCCGTCACCGTGTGCAGAGGGGGCTGCAGGTGGCCTAGGAGTGATGCCTTGGTTCTTCCCGGCATGGCTGTCTCTGTGGATGGTAAGCGTAAGCTATTCAGATTTAGTGGCAGCTCTGGTGTACTCACAGCTCTGTCTGTCCTCACAGTGTTTTCTGTGTGTCCCACTTTGTTCCTCCTTGCTCTCATCTCTGTCTCCTGCCACAGACAGCTGAAGAAGGGCAGCAAGCAGGCATCGGCCTCCTATGACTCGGAGGAGGAGGAGGAGGGCCTGCCCATGAGCTATGACGAGAAGCGGCAGCTCAGCCTGGACATCAACCGGCTGCCGGGGGAGAAGCTGGGCCGTGTGGTGCACATCATCCAGTCCCGGGAGCCATCGCTGCGGGACTCTAACCCCGACGAGATCGAGATCGACTTCGAGACCCTGAAGCCTACCACGCTGCGGGAGCTGGAACGCTACGTCAAGTCGTGTCTGCAGAAGAAGCAGCGCAAGCCCTTCTGTGAGTCTGCGCCTCCAGGCCCCAGCGGCCCAAGGCTGTGCTGGGGCTTGGGCAGTGGCGGTCTCTCTGTTGGGCCCTGGTACTGTGCCCCTGAGGGAGTCCCCTTGACTGGGGTTAAGTGTCCACAGCTGTCACAGGACAGACCCTCGTACCTGCTCAGTGCCCTGGGAGCCAGTGGCTTTACTTGATAAGAGCTGGTCCTTTCCTCCTTCCGGGGCAGCCAGGCCCCAAGACCCGTGTGGTCCCCGAGCATCTTGGATGCTGCAGCCCAGACTCCTGCTGCTCCCCCAGGCAGCGCTGGGGTGGGGGTGGGGGTCTGTGTGCAGGGCATGGTATGCACACTCCCTTGAGGGTTGGTGCACACATCGAATGCATCTCGGCTCCTATGTCACCCCCATCCCTTAGCCTCGATTCCCTCCCATGCGAGAAAGACCTGCCTCCCTAGCTACTGTCATCTGGCTTTTGTTTTCTTCTCTATTTCTTATCCAAAGGAAGACGTGTGAAGTCTAAGCTTATGCGTCTGATTTATGTCATGTAGCATCTCCAGGTCCCAAGGTTCCTTTTCGTACAGAGGACTCAGCTTTGTCCCCCTTTGTGGCAGAACAGCACCCCATCGTGTGAACCCCATGCTTTCCTTACTCAGCCATGGTGGGCACAAAGGCCATGTCCAGGATTTAGTGTTAGGAGCCGAGCTGCTGTAAATGTGGGTGTGTGTGGGTCACTCTGGCAATGGCTTCAGCGTGGTTGGAGGATACCTAGGAGGGGAACAGTGGGTCTCAGAGCACAGGTTGCCATGGATCTGCATGGCCCTGGTTGGGAGCCTGGCACCAGCTTTGCTGCCCTGGCCAGACAGGCTGGGTAGGGTGTGCTTGCCTCCCTGCTGGGCTGGGCCCTGGCCACCTAGACAGCCCCACTCCCATGTCCCCTACAGCAGCAAGTGGAAAGAAGCAGGCAGCCAAGTCAAAGGAGGAGCTAGCTCAGGAAAAGAAGAAGGAGCTGGAGAAGCGGCTGCAGGATGTGAGCGGGCAGCTGAACAGCAAGAAGCCCCCCAAGAAAGGTACCCAGGCTCCACGCCACGTCTGTGGGGCAGTGGCCCGAGGCAGAGGGTGCAGGGTCTCCTGAGTCCAGGCCTTGAGGTGCCGGAAGCCCCATTTCTCTGTCTGTGAGCCAGGGCTGAGTCCCAGGCATGCATGCCCACCCCACGCCCCCCAGCCCACACCCCTGCCCCTGCCTGGTACACAGGGGCTCACATCCAGTGAGTGGAGCTGGATCCATATCTTGGCTCTCTGAGGAGGAGCACCGTCATGTCCCTGGCCACCTCCAGAGCAGGTCCTAGTCTTGGGCACCACAGAGCCTAGGTGGGGCTGCATGACCAGGGCTGTATGTGTGCCCTGGTCTGGGTGCCCTAGCTTCATGCAGTCCTAACTTACACTTCTCCTCTTTTTAATTTGCATTTTGAGACAAGGTCTCTTGCTAAGTTGCCCAAGCTGGGCCTGTGCATGAGGTGGTTCTCCTGCCTCAGCCTCCCAGAAGGTTGGGAAGATAAGCGTGCCTACCATGCTAGCCAAGTAGACAGCACTGTGCTGGGAGGGGAGTTGCTTAGCCCACCTCGGTGACCTTGTGAAAGTGGCATGCACCAAGCTGCCCAGTCAGGTCCAGGGCACATATACTGGCACCACATGGCCCAGCCAGCAGGAAGAGCATTGACTGCCTGTGCCTCTCTCCGCAGAGAAGACCGGTTCGGCACCCTCCGGGGGGCCCTCGCGGCTCAGCAGCAGCAGCTCCTCAGAGTCTGGGAGCAGCAGTTCCAGCGGCTCCAGCTCTGACAGCAGCGACTCCGAGTGACCCGGGGTACAGGTGGAGCAGGACAGACGGACGTCACACGCTGAGGCCCCGTGTGTCCCCTCCTGTGGTCAATATACTCCTTTCGTTCCATGGTGTGCAGGTTTCCTTTCCTTCAGTGTGCCGGTGGGGCCGAGGCTGAGCCCCGCGGGCCATGGCTGGCGCTCCCTGCCTTGGAGCCAAGTCCAGCCCACACCAGAGGAGCCACAGGGGCGGTTCCAGGACCTGCAGCCGTGCTGCCCAGTGACCCAATGGGGTCCCTGCCCACCGGTGTGAGCCCAGCCCGAGCTGGGCAAGGAGGGGCTGTGCTGGCCGGGCTGGGCAGGGTGCGCAGGTACCCTGGTGGGAGTGCAGCGCTGAGCCGCCGGCTGCGGGCTTCCAAACACTGAAATTCTTACCTCAGCTTAAAAAAAGACAAAAATCCACAAACGGAGACTTTTTGTAAGTTCAGCGATTTTCTACAGAGGTTCACCCAGTGTGTCCACACCTCACTCGCGCTGCCCGGCTGCCACCGCCGCTGCTGCCGCACACCCTGGAACCATCGTCCCCAGTTTCATGTATATATAAATACTTTATTTATTAACATCATCGGTCAAGTTTTTAAAAAAAAAGAAAAAAGAAAAAAAAGCAAAGAAAACACAGAACCGTAAAAGAAGTGCATTAACTGCAGCGGTGGCGGCCTGGGCCAGGGGACCCGTCTGCTCCCCGCCCGGGCGCCCACACTCGTGCTTCCTGGGCTCGGGGGCTCTGGTTTGGCTGTTGGGTTGTTTCAGATTTTTACGTGTTTCTTTTGTTTTTATTTTGGTATAAACTTTGGAGACATATATAGACACTTTCCAGCTCCAGCGCATCCTGATCTTTGATGTCGTTGGTTCAGTTTTCTGGTGCCCACGCTGGGTCTTTTGAGGACCGTTTCAAAGAAAACCAACGTAGGGAACCCCCTTCCCCACAGCCCGAGAGAAGAGGAGCGTACAGGAAATCCAAGTTTCAACCTTTTGTTTTTAACTTTGTATTGTAAAAAAATAATAATAATATACGAGAGTTTTACAGAAGTTCTGTTTGGGCTTGCTGTCTTCCAGGGCTGCCACACCGTGGGCTGTGGAGCACAGGCTCTGCCTGGCCGAGTTTGGAGCCCTGCGTCCTGGCCTGTGTGTAGTCCAGGTGTGGAGCTCTGGAGGTCACGAGGTGGCCCGGCCTTTTAGCCCCTCCAAGTTCCCAAGATGCAGGGCTGGCATCCACAGTGCTTGGTGGCCGTTGGCCTAGGCAGCTGTCTGTCTGCCGAGCTGTGGTCGCGTCTGCACTTACAGGTGGAGACAGGCCCAGCCCAGCAGCCTCCCATCAGGGTGCATGTTTCCACCCAGGCCGTGGGTTCGGATTCTGCTGAGGACACAGGGTGGGGCTGGCCGATGTTCCTAGTCACTGGCGGTTCTGACACTCAGTGAGTTTTCAGCCATTTGTTAAAAGTTTTAAGTCAGTTTTGTTTATAATAAAAATATAAATGGATTTTAAAGTTCCATTTTTTAAAGTTACCCTTGTTTTTCAAAGGTATTTTCTAAACAGATCTTTAATAGAATATTTAAACTGTGACTTTAAGGAATTAACACACAACAAAATTGGCAGGTCTTTGTTGGGGATCTTGAGTGGACACATGTCCCAGAGGCGCCTGCTCAGCCTGAGCCAGGGTGCCTGGGGTAGTGTGGTGTCCACAGCCTGAGAGGCAGCTGGCCCTCTCTGCAGAGGAGGTCACCCAGCGCTGTGGTCCTGCTGAGCAGCTGTGGTTCATTGGTGCTGTAACTCTAAGGCTTTCTGTCCAGACTTCAAAACTGTCTCTAGGTTGGTTTGGGGGGTCACGGACTCCCCCACACCCTGGACGTCAGTTGGTTCACAGTGACGGCTGTCCGTCGCCTCTCCTGGGCCGGAGTGCCACAGGAAGTCCGACCTTGCTAGTGGAGGCGCTCTGGGGAGGAACAGTGGCGGTGGCCATCACCCCGGGAAGGACCTGGGACCCTCCGGGAGGGGGCGTTGAGAGCAGGCTGTGGGTGTTGGGGAGGCCCAGAGCCCTCCCGCAGGGCAGCGTCAGCTTGCTAACAACTGTAAGACACGTTTTCCTTTGTGTTTGTTTTGGTTGTGTTCTTTTGCAGCTGTCATGCCTTTTAAGTCATTGGGAAGGAAAAATGCCCATGTCAAGAGTTGTCACATCGAGTTTTTTCTCTGTCCCCTGATACTGGCATAACACTTCCAGGAGGTTTTTCTTTTTTATATTTAAAATGTTACTTTTCTGTATGATGTGCATGCAAGTTTACCGTAATTTTTCTTAACACTTTTTAGTGCCGTTTCTAGTATATTCCTGTAAATGTCAGTTACTGAAAATGAGTCCAATGTAAGTAGTTTTAGCTCGTTTATTGCAATGCTGGCCTCAACACCACAGAATAAAAATGGTAGAAAGTAATCTTTGATGTTTCTGGTAATCACGGACCCTTCTCCCGGGGCATTTGTTTTGTTTTCATAATAAAAAGGAGAAAAATTCACGTGTGCCTGTGATTTCCACAGTGGCCCCACTCTTGGGATGTTGGAGTGTGTAGTGTGGCAAGTGGCCACCTACTGCCTAGGGTCAGAAAGAGCTGGGCTCAGGGTATCCTGCAGCCTGGTGCAAGTGCCTGCTCCTTTTTCTTCTGCCCTTGGTCCCTTCTTCATGGGGAAGCAGGTGCCATCCTGTGCCTCCTGCCTTACCTTATGCTGGGATGATTTCCTGTGATGCAGGCACCTGGCACTGCCCCCCCCCCACCCACTGGGCCCATGGAGAATCTGAAATGTGGGCTGGGAGCGCACTTCCTGCCAAGGCGAAACACACTTGGAACAGGCTCTGGACACCAAGGCTCAGTGCAAAAGGAACAGAGTGGGCAGGCATCTGAAGGCCTTTTGCGAAACAGCCCCTGCTGTGGGTGCCCAGCCTGGGCCAGGGATTCCTGGGGAGGAGGTTCAAAATGGATCCTGGCAGGGGCTGAGGGCCTGTCTACCAGCCTGCTTCCAGCACATCACTGGCCTCTGCCCCGGGCAGAAGACATCTGTGTGCTAAGCAGCTTAGCGCCAGCCTTTCTGTGCAGGATCTGGCTTGGGGAGGGAGCGTACAGCCTGGGCCACACGTAGCCTCTGACCCCATCTCCATGTGCAGATGGTGGTGCTGTGCTGACCCGGCCCTGACTGCTTTGGGCCTGGTGCCATAAGCAGGTCTGTCAAGACTGCTTTCTTCCCAAGCCAAGCTTAGAAACTGGATACTGACAAAAACACCCAGTAAGCTTGGGCCGGCGATTTAGCTCAGCAGCATAAGTGCCTGCTTTGCAAGTGTTTGGTCATGAGTTCGATCCCCGGTACTGATATAAAAAAAAACAGCCAGTAACCCCAGAATAACCTGCATCACTATGATGCCTTGGTCCAGCAAGTCTCACACTCCTGTACAGGATGCTCCTGTACGGGACGGGAGCTACAGCTTGGGGCACCGTGGGGCTGGCCAAAGGGACCTGGCTCCAGTGGGGGCTGCAGCTCAGCAGGCTCCGGCTGGATCCTGAGCTGTCTAGAGAGGAACATCCACAGGTGTAAAGAGAGCCCCACACAGGGAACACAGCCATGTTGAGGACAAGCCATTTGTGCAGATGACAAGCTGGGTACCATCTCTGGGGGCTCCCAGGGAGCTGCCAGGGAAGATGCTGCTGGGACTGTGAATACACACTGTTGTAAACCCAAATGCTGTGTATGGTCACCCAAGTATTGTAATCTTCTTAGTTTTTCTCACAGTCTAAAAGGTTATATTTGTAATCACAATGAGACATCATTGGAATCTCAGCAAGTTAATTTTAATCTACCACCACCAATCCAACCCACGTCAAGAGTAAAAACACCAAGACATATTCCAAATTAAGGGTAGTCAACGGGTTCTAAGTCCAATCCTCATGAGGACATGTGGACAAAGGCTCTGATTCTAGGCTTCTCCCAGAATTTATCATCTTGTGAAGAAGAGGGATGGCTCGGGGATGAGTGACAGTGAGAATGGTAGAATTATGCAACTTGAGCTGGCTGGCCTGTAAGAATGCCACCTATGTAAATTGCAGATAAAGATAGGCATAAGGATCAATTTACATAATCTAAGGTAGCAACTGAATTGTATTGGGAGGCTGTCTCTTTGGTTTTTTTTTTTTTTTTTTGTCTTTTTCATTTTTATCGGTACCAGGGATCGAACTCACGACTGCCTGCTTGCAAGGCAGGAGCTTATGCCGCTGAGCTAAATCCCCAGCCCCCGATATGCAAACTCTTGTGTGACAAGTCACAGCCTCTTTACCTTGAGGCTCCTTCCCCATTGACATTTCCGGAGCTACGTCCCACTGTACTCATATCCTGTACAGGGAACACAATATGAGGAAACCGAGGAAACCAGACTGTCTGTTGGCTTTAGAGAGTATATATCAGCACCTTGGCTAGCCTTATTTACAATGCTTAGAGCCAATTAAATAAACGCCATAAACGTCGTGAGTTCGATCCCTGGTACTGCAAAACAAAACAAAACAAAAAACACCACCATAGCCAGCTCTCTGCGTACCAGTATAGTAAAATGTCTCCAAATAATCAAAGCTGCAGCAATTGATCTGCATTCAAGGGGAGCCACTGCAGTTGTCTCCCAGACACAGTGCCAGGAAGAGCACCAGCACACACACACACGTTGCCAACAGTGCTGCTCCCCTGCAAGGGGGGCTCTGCTTTATGTATTTGGTTTTTTTTTTTTTTTTTTTTTGTCTTTTTCATTTTTTATCGGTACCAGGGATCGAACTCACGACTGCCTGCTTGCAAGGCAGGCGCTTATGCCGCTGAGCTAAATCCCCAGCCCCTTGCTTTATGTATTTGTCTTGCAGTATTTATGTCTGGGGGCTTCTGGCACTCAGATTTTACTAAGAACATGGAAGCCAGGTCTAAGCTGAACAGGATAAATGAGCGCAGAGAAAGGGAAGGAGTCCTAAAAGATATTTATTTAGAAAAGCAAAACCAGCTTCGACAAAACTCCACATGTGCGCTGCTGGTGGATTTTAACTACAGCAAAGGCAAAGCCTTTCAGAATGGCCCAGGAAAAAAGGGCCACACAGGTGGGCATTGGCTGCCTATATGCATCGAGGCTAGAATAGGTTAAAACCCCCAACAGTGGGCAGCTGCAGGCCAGGGTTGGAGAGTGAGCTGCTCTGCTGGCCAACAAGGAACCTGCTTTGCAGCCATATGACTCAGCTTGAAATCACTGTGGGCAATTCAGAGCTTAGACTTTGTGGGTTCTGGAAGGTGGGCAGGATATGCTTGCCCCAGTGCCTGGGGGCCAGTAAAGAAGCCATAAGGTAGCACATCCACTAAGGTGCCACCACTGCAGCCACCAAGGCTGCTTGGGTTGCCACTGGGTGTGAGCAGAAGGATCTGAGAACATGTATGACAGTCCTCTGGCTACTCTAGATCCCACCCACCCTTCACCAGGCAGAAGCTGACAACCTCCAGCACTCAGGGTGGGCTATGTGCCCTGTAGCTCCTCTTGCTTGACTCACTGGGAGCATGGACCTTGCTGGGCAAGACCCTGGAATTGGATGTTGAGCCACACCAGCTTTTGGGGATACTCCAGGCAGGAGTTGCTGCGTACCAGTGCATGGGCTTCTTGGTGTCTTCATGGACTCCCACTAAAAATTAGAAAGCAATGTGACAACTGAGAGGTATAAGCACCATTTCCTCAAGGCTTGGTACCTGGGCACGGGTTTAATCACATAATTATGCAAATCTTGGACTGACCGGTGTCCCGGCAGACCTCAAGCTTATTTCTATCTCGGACTAAGATAGCCTGGTTTCCATACTGTGAGTACCACATGCTTCGGCTCCTGCTCAGGTAGGTCCCAGGTGGTAAGGATTCCAACTTCTGCTGCTGCTGCTGCCAGATGAGCAAGGAAGTGTCACGGTAGCGGAGGCGGGCGTAGCTTTCAGACAGTGCTTTCTCTGCCAGTGGGACTCCGCCGCTCATGCCCCAGGCCCAGCTCCTGCCTATCTGGCTGCTCTCACATAGGAAGAGCTCCAGCTGCTCTCTACCGTGTTGTGTGGATGGCTCTTCGGCAGCAGCCTGAGGACTTATGGCTTAAGGAGAAGCCAACATGCTCAGGAGGGTGTGCTGAGTTGAGACATAGCTGAGCTGAGCATCCTGAAGCCACCTCAGAACTGTTCAAAGTGCTGCACAAGCCCGAGCTCAGCCAAGGACAACTATGTGGCATTGACAGGGTCTGGGAGCTACTCCTGCGGGATCGGTCAGGTTTTCACTGCGATTCTGACACCACAGTGTGGGCCACCAATCATCAAGAGTGTCCAATGTCCTTTGGGAAAAGGCATTGTATAGCCACGCAAAAATGACGCTGCTAGGGCTGGCTGCCCACTGACCCGTCCCCGCTGACTTAGGAAGCTGCAGCAACTGCGGGACCCAGAGTTTGCCCAAGTCCTTTTTGGGAGATTCTTCCTCAAATGATGCTGCACAGAAGTGAGGGTGTGTCAGGTGCAGACCACAGCGCGAGCCCCGCAGCACGGACCTCAGTGTCTCCAAGTCAGACCTGGCTACTCACATTCAGGGAATCATCGCGCTGGCTCCCGGGACGTGTGCGTGATCGCAGGCCTCTTTGCAACTACTGATGACCGGGGACCAGCTGCGGGGCCCCGAGGCTGGATTCACAGGAGAGTCACGCAGGGTGGAGCGCCGCGCCGGCGGGAGGAAGGGTTGCTCCCTAGCACTAAGCGACCAGCAGTGCGTTGAAGTCGGGCGGCGCCCAGGACCCCGCCCGAGCCAGTCCTGCTACTCAGGTCCTTCGCCGATGGCCGCGGCCCGTGCACGGTTCCGCTGAGCGCCCCTCAGTCCACGCGCGCCCCGTAGGATGCCATGGCCTCCGTGGACTCCCTCGTCTTGGACCCAGACTGACCGCCCTGGGACCCGTGACGATGGACGCCGATGGACGCCGATGGGGCGCAGGGGCTGCCGGGGCGGGGCCAGGAGGCCGCGGGGCCTCGTTTCCATGACAGCGCTCAAGGCATAACGAGCCGAGCACCGAGGTCGGACCAAGGGGCGAGGAAGTTCGAACCATCGATGGCACTAAGGGGCTATGCCAGGCCGGCCCGGCCTGCTGCGCGTGCGCCTTAGCGGGTGGGGGGGGGGGTGTTGGGGCGGGGCTGGGCGGGGCGCTGTGTTCCGCGTTTTCCTGCCGCTGCGCGTACCCTCGCGGCGAAAAGACCGGATGCGACTGATTTCGGCTCACCCAGGTCGGGGCACTAGTGGTCTTGGAAGCGGGTGAGCAGCGCCCCCGCCCAGGGCCGCCTGCTGTGACGTTCTGGACAGCCCAGTGTCCCCGCCGCTGTCCTTTCCCTCTCGGCTTCATTTTTATGGTTTTTCGCAGTGCCAGTTCACAACACTGACCTCACAGAACCCGCTGAGCCCTGAACCCATACCCCTGGGTGGTTCGGCCTTTTTTTTTTTAGTAGAAAAATAGGTGAGGCGGGGATGTAGCTCAGTGGGATAAGCGCCTACCTGGAAAGTGCAAGGTCGTGAGTTAGATCTGCATACCAAAAAAAAAAAGGGTTCATTTTGTTTCACACTCAGGTCAAAGGGCAAGGAGCAGAGTCAGGTGACAGCCTTCTTCAGGGCAGGGGCCCCAGGGGGTACAGGGCATCAGGTGGTGAGATAGAAGGGGCAGGCAGGCAGTGTTCTTGAGCATGAGGTGTGTACATGAGCATTGTGAGTACACATATGTTACGTGTCTAGAATCCACAGTGGCTTTAAAAATTTTTTTTACTATACATTATTTTTATTTTGTAGGTACTAGGAATTGAACTCAGGACCTTGCACTTGCCAAGCAGGCATTGCACTACTGAGCTGTATCTCTGCACATTGGTTTTGGTTTTTGTTTTTAGGACAGGGTCTCCCTAAGCAGTTCAAACTGGCCTGGAACTCACTTTGTAACCCAGGCTGCTGTCTGACTTGCAATAATTCTCCTGCCTCATCCTTCCAAGTACTGGGATTACAGGCATGTGCCATCAAGCCTGGCTTTTTTTTTTTTTTTTTTTCCTTTGGGTATCGGGAATCAACTCATGACCTAGTTTGCCAGGCAGGTGCTTATGCCACTGAGCTAAATTCCAGTTCCTTGGGTTTATTTATTTATTTATTTATTTATTTTAAAGGGGGTAAAATTAAACAACAGAACAAAATAGGACCTAAGAAAGCAATGTAAGAGATATAAATTTCAAAGCTAGACGACCTGAGATCTTTACTGTCTATCATATTGTCTCTTGTTTTCTTCCAAATAGTTGCCCATGTCTTCACATACAGAGAATTCATACAAAACAACATAGTATAAAACTGATCCGAACAGAATGAGGATGGTGTTTTAGGTCTTCAAAACCAGGCAATAAGGAAGTCCTTAATAGCTGTGTAGAGTCTCTTGTTCTCTTCAAAATAGTTGTCCATACTTTCATGTATATTGAAGTTCAACAAAACAAAGCAGGGAAGAGGGAAGGGATTGGTTGGTTTCCCAGCACTCCAGGTTCCAGCATGACTTGGGTCCCAGTAAACGTAGGAGGCTCCCGTCTTGGCCCAGCGGAGCCTGCCACTCACAGCCACTCATGGGTGAGGAGGTTGCTTGGTTTCCTGGCGCTGGTGCTCCAGGTCCTGGCATGGTACGGGTACTGTAGTGGGCCGCTGCAGGCTGCCACAATCACCATGGGGGAAGGGGTTGCTTCAGTCCTTGGTGTTTTGCTTTTTTTTTTGGTACCAGGGATTGAACTCATGACCAAGTGCTTACAAGGCAGACACTTATGTTGCTGAGCTAAATCCCTGGCATGTTGTTTTGCTTTTTTTTTTTTTTTTTTTGGTCTTTTTCTTTTTTATTGGTACCAGGGATCGAACTCACGACCACACACTTGCAAGGCAGGCGCTTATGCCGCTGAGCTAAATCCCCAGCCCCTGTTGTTTTGCTTTTGAGACATGGTTCCACTATGTAAGTCAGGCTGGCCTTGAACTCACTGTGGAGCCCAAGAGAATCAAGGCGATTCTCTTGCCTCCTGAGTGTTGGGATTACAAGCGTGACCCTTCATGCCTGGCTGTAGAATGCACGTTGTTTACAAGGAACCAAGAGGTTTACCAAAACTGACCACACACTGGACTGTAAGCTTCATGTTTCAGGCCATTTAATTCTTACATACACACAACCACACGAGCAGCAGTCTGTGAAATAGTAACGGGTGAGAGTGTGGCCCAGTGGGGCAGCATTTGCCTAGCACACGGGAGATTCTGAGTTCCGTTTTCAGCCCAGCAAATAAATAAACAAGGAGACAACTCACGGGTTTGATCATTAAGAAATATGCTTTCCACAGAAATAGGAAAAGCAGGGGCTGGGGATTTAGCTCAGCGGCATATGGCAAGCAGGCAGTCGTGATTTTGATCCCTGGTACCGATAAAAAGGAAAAAAGACAAAAAAAAAAAAAAGAGAGATAGGAAAAGCCCTAATGTTCTTATGGAACCATAGGCATTAAAAAAGAGTGGTTAGAACAATCTTAAGAAGAACAGAGCTAAAGGCATCATACTTCCTGATTTCAAACTCTATTACAAAGCTGTAGTAAAAGAATACGCTGCTAGGGGCTGGGGATTTAGCTCAGCAATATAAGCACCTGCCTTGAAAATAGGCGGTCGGGAGTTTGATCCCCAGTACCGGTTTAAAAAAAAAATCCTAAAGAATACGCTGCTGCTGCCGCCACTGCTGCTAGCTGGATATATAGCTCTGCCGTATAAGCCCTCCCTGGCGGGACTGGGGATTTAGCTCAGTGGCATAAGTGCCTGCCTTGCAAGCAGGCCGTCGTGAGTTCGATCCCTGGTACCGATAAAAATGAAAAAGACAAAAAAAAACAAAACAAAATAAGCCCTCCCTGGCAAGCTCAAGGTCCTGAGTTTGTTTCCTGGTACAAAAAAATAACAAAAGAATATGCTGCTGACTTGTGACCAGGCTTGGGAACCAGCAGAATAGATGGGTTTAGCTGGGTGTGGGTGCACACGCCTGTCATTCCAGCACTAGCACTCAAAAGGCTGAGGCAGGAGGTTTGCCAGGAGTGGAGGCCACCTGGCTACATGGAGAGCTCAAGGCTCACCTCAACTGTATAGTGAGACACTGTGTCAAAAAAGAGGTGGGTGAGAGAGACCATCATATATGTCATCAACTGATCTTTGGCTCTAGGAACACACGGGCAAAAATCCCATTTCACCTTGCTTCTATATTTTGCTCAAAAATCAACTCATAATAAAGATGTAAACATATCACCTGGAACCGTACAACTCCTAGGAGAAAACAAGTGTAAACTATTTCAATGGGCAACTTTTTCTTTTGGATTGGACCCTAACTATACAGGCAACAAAAGTAAAAATAAACAAGGGGACAAGGAGGGGATGAAAGTTTCGGCACTGAAAGGAAAACAGCCAATAATATGTAACGGGAACCTATGTAGCCGCAGGAAAGATTTGTAAACTGTGTATCTAATAAGGCCATTAATTAAGGCTAAAATGTGTGTCAGACTCATGCAGCTCAGTAGTGGAAACAATGGATAACTCCCTTCAAAAATAAGCAGAGAGGGGCTGGGGATTTAGCTCAGCAACATAAGCGCCTGCCTTGCAAGCAGGCAGTCGTGAGTTCGATCCCTGGTACTGATAAAAAGGAAAAAGACAAAAAAAAAAAAAAAAAAAAAGAAAGAAAGAAAGAAAGAAAAAGACTAAAAAGAAAAAAGCAGAGGACACAGTTTCTAGAAGGCGATGTGAGGACGGCCAAGGGCTATTCGGAAAGGTGCTTCCTAATCCAGAGACTTGGAAATGGAAGCTGCAGTGTGGTGAGGTGCTGCAGTTTGGTGACCGGGTGGTGCTCTCAGGCCCTGGGTTCTGCCCCCTCACAAGCAGAAACCCAACCACTGGTATTGTAGTCAGGGCTTGCAAGGAGAATAATTACACACAGGACACCGAATTTATAGTACTAATTTATGATGGGTACCCAGAGTTAAATATAAGAAAGTGCAAGAAATCTGTCCATAGCACTAAAGATCTAGAAAATCCACCCGAGGGCCTGGATTGACAGCAATGTCCTGCGTATTTCCAGCTGAAGACCTGGAGCCCGTAACGGTGCCTCCCACGAGTCCTTCTGGAGGTCTAGAGCCCACAACAATGACTCATGCAAGTCTATCCCATGGATCCGAGCTGGGAAGGCCCAAAGGTCATTGGTGGAAGCTAGAAAGTGTGCAGTGGGGTAAAGGAGCTGTGCTAGCAGGCTGAGGGTTCTACACTGGAGCCAAGAAGTGATGCTCAAAACAAGGACCAGGATTGCGCTGAAAAGTACCACGGCCATCCTCAGCGACAGTGAGGTCCTGAGCTCCTCCAATGATGACGACAGTCAAGTACATGCCAGAAAGCCAGCATGATGAGTTTGTCGTGGAGATTAAACAGTACACATCTTCCCCTCCAGAGCCAGGAAGTGATGCTCGATCTAAGGACCAGCACTCCCCCAAAGTGAACCATAGTCACTCTCACTAACAAGGTCCCATCTCCTCTGATGACAATGGCCAAATTCATTCAGGGAAGCCCAAATGACAAGCCCCTCTTGGAGAACCAATGGCTCCAGACAACACTTAGGAGAACCCATAACACCACCCTCATCCTCCCCACATCTCTTTTTATGTTGGCACCCTTCCTGGGGTGGGCCATCCATGCTCAGCACCGTGTTGGTGGTATAATTCAGCTGGTGTTAAGCTGAGCACCAGTATTTTTGTGACACCCAGTGAGAGTCTTCACCCCTGCTGGGGTGGCTCTAACCAGCCAGGCACACACAGATGTCGGTGAAGGTATGGAGCAGGGGAGGACTTGCGAACTTTTGCTGGGGATGCAAAGCCTCACAGACACTGTAGAAGTACAGCTTCCTCAGAATATTCAAATTAGCACAACCTGTGACCTATGATGTCTCTGCAGGACAGCTACCCAAAGGACTAAAACTCACCGTATTGTTCCCGAGAACTGCAGATCATTTACAACAGCTGAAACCGGAAGCCAGCCTTGCTGTGT